GGTTAACTACCAAGCGATTGTTTGAGAGAGGGCAGAGTGGTTGACTACACTCATTCAATCTGCCAAATTTAAAAAGTCACCCAGAATTCCCTGTGCTTTATGAGTGATTTTCATGTTTATCTCCCTTAGCTTGCTATTTTGTTATTCAAAAGGAGTGTAAACTTAGAGCATTCATGTATAATACCTTTCATAACTCATATATTAAAATGCTGATATTATTAGATTACTCAGGAACACTACTGTTGTATTTCTCCGTTCAAAAAGGTTAAAAAAATTGTTACTCTGTTTTCATAATTAATCCTATTTGCCCCATTGTCTTTGTATTCTACATAGAAAGCATGCCATAGATCTATAATTGAATTTACTCATCTATATAAAACAGTACTTTTAACCCCATCCTGAAAATCAGAATATATTTTTGAAAATCAAACTATGTCAAAATTGAAAATCAGAATGTGTCAAAATATTGAAAATCAAAATATATCAAAATTCATTATATTTGATGTATCCCTCAAAAAATTGATTTCTCCTTACAGAAATTATTTTGTTTTTCTGGAAAAACGCGGGGTTCAAATGCAGCTTTCTTCCTTCTGTTCTGGTCTGTCCAGTATATGAAAAGCACAAGTGCAGAATGACCAGTGACAGGTTCACCATGAAGCTAATGAAGCTTAGGCTTCGGGGTCCTTCCCTTGTGCAGAGTGCCTTCCAATGCTTGGGAAGGCCCCAGGCAATTTTGTTCTCATAATTTGTAATATTTTCCTTAGAGAGGCCCCACTACTGTGTATATTTTATACCCCACAAAACCTGAATGCTCACCATCATGCCCTAGGCATAACTAATCTTTCTTTCCGGTTAAGAAGGGACGCTTACCCAGCCATTTGATATAGCGTCTGAAGACAGATACACTGTTAGCCCCACACTAGAAGTGTAAAATCATTAAGACAAAATTTGAGAATGATACGGCTCCTCTATTGGCATCTTTGGGTAATACTGTCCAAGCTGATGGAAAATATAAGGACTCCACTTTGCTCTGTAAAAAATACAGAAACACAGCCATGGAAGTGTAGTGTATTTGTATGAAACATTGTACCACATTGTGCCAAATGTCATGTTAAATTAATGATTCAAGATAAAATTGCGCAGACCAAATTTGACTGGAGTTTTAACAGGTTCTCTCTCCATAAAGCAGTCTGGCCACAATCTTATCACTAGGTTTGAGGGTATGGAGGTCCCCTGTGAAATATGAAAGTGATGCACAAGTGAACTGTCTGCAGTACAGTATAAGAATTGGTGAATTGGTTGCAAAGAAAGGCAGACCATGGCCACCCAGGGATCACTCTTGCAGTTTGACAAATCCTCATGGAGGCTGAAAGAATCTATATAGTCTTCAGAAATGCTGTGAAAACAGTATAATCAGATATGACTAGGGGAAAAAAAAAAACTGGTGTTCATTTGCATATTAACACCTAGAATTCTCTGCCAGTTCACCTCTTCTTCAAAGTGCAGAAAGGATTTAAAAAAACTGAAATGGGGCTGGCGCAGTGGCTCACGCCTGTAATCCCAACACTTTGGGAGGCCGAGGTGGGTGGATCACATGAGGCCAGGAGTTGGAGACCAGCCTGGCCAACATGGCAAAACCACGTCTCTACTAAAAATACAAAAATCAGCCCGGCATGGTGTTGGGCACCTGTAATCCCAGCTACTCTGGAGGCTGAGGAGAATCGCTTGAACCCGGGAGGTGGAGGCTACAGTGAGCCTAGACCTCACCATTGTACTCAAGCCTGGGCAACAGAAGCAAAACTCTGTCTCAAAAAATACTAAGAAAAAGAAAAAACTGAAATGGTTTGGCATGATGGTGGGGTGCTGATTCCTTTCTCTGTCCTTGAGTATTTACTGCCAGGAAATCCTGACCAACATCAATTGCCAAGGGGTTAAAGTCACATTGTTGTTAAATTGGGAGAGAAAATTAGCAGGATTTTGTGCCCTATGTTCAACTATTACAGAGTTTCAAAAACAGGAACCTGGAGCTTTATATGAGGGGACAGGGGAAGTAAAGGGGAAGAGTGACAAGGGTGATTTATCAGGGCATAGTTCCAGATAAATCACTTACATGGAGGTGAAAGAATTTCATGCATATGTTCTGTGCCAAGAAGCCAAATGGTTGAGCAGAAGCTTGTCTGAAAGTTGAAGTGGGCAGTTCGGGGTCCAGTCTTTCCATGTGTGAAAAGGCGATGATTTTATATTCATGTTGTTTGTGTTACTGTATGTGCAGTTGGTCTTTTCAGGTGTCCAGACAGCATTTTTTCATGGCATTAAAGAAAGCCAATAAAGTCTAGTTTTGGTGGCTCACAGCCGTAATCCTAGCACACACTTAGGGAGGCCAAAGCAGGAGGATCACTTGGAGTTCAAGACCAGCCCAGCGACATAGCAAGACCTCATCTCAAAAAAGGAAATAGATTTTTTAAAGTCAATATTTCATTAATATAAGTTATAATATACTATAAAATGCCTGGAGGACAAATAAACACATTTTCTCTAGGTTCTGTGAAAGCATCATTATCCATTCAAATTTTTCTCATGATTAGAACCTGACATTCTGGAAAAGTACAGTAAATTTTCATTAATGTACTTGCTCTCTCCCCCCTTTTATTCCTCCCATTATTAATATTAATCCTGAAAAGAAAGAAAATAGAAAAAACACCCAAGCAAAATGCCTAAGAAATACAGTAAGGACAATTTGATCACCATTTCCTTGAAAAATTAGAGCCACCAGGCAAACCTGTTTTGGGGTCCTCACATCTGTCCTCTTTTGGAGTTTGCTAAGTAGTACAGTTGAAGTGAACTTTTTGGTAACAAAAGTAAAAACTTTCAGAATAACTCCAGTAAATGGTGTTGATGTGATATACAAGTTTGGAAATATTTAAGATCTAAGAGTCCTTAATGTTGGTGTTATTTCCTCCAGTGTAGAACAGACTTAATGTTTCTTTTTTTTTTTTTTTTTTTTTTGGAACAGGGTTTCACTCATGTTACCCAGGCTGGAGTGCAATGGCACAATCTCGGCTCACCGCAACCTCCACCTCCTGGGTTCAGGCAATTCTCCTGCCTCAGCCTCCTGAGTAGCTGGGATTATACAGGCACGCACCACCATGCCCAGCTAATTTTTTGTATTTTTAGTAGAGACGGGGTTTCACCATGTTGACCAGGATGGTCTCGATCTCTTGACCTCGTGATCCACCCGCCTCGGCCTCCCAAAGTGCTGGGATTACAGGCTTGAGCCACCGTGCCCGGCCAGACTTAATCTTTTGATGGAAATCATAGAGTTCCACAGAGATGATTAGAATCTCCAACCAGTGCATCTTGAAGCTGGCTGCCACGGCCACTCATGCACCTTCTCTCTGCCCATTCAGGAGAGAATTCTCAGCATTTGTGCTCAAAAAAATCTATACTTTTAGTCCATCAGAGACTTCATGTTTGTCATGCATGCACACTCACAACCTCTCCACACATATGCCCACCCCTCACACATATCCTGCTTCTGAGAAATGCAACTAGAATTTCCCCCAGAGAAGAGATGAAAACCCCTGATGAAGAAATTTAAGGTCTAGGAAAGGTAAATGACTTTCCTTAAGTCACATAGTTCAGCACAGAACCAAAGCTAGAACCCAGATACCCTCAGCTCTTCTTCCAGTGCCTTCAGGTACACAAGTATTTGAACAGGATTCAAGGTTTAACTCCTATATGTCATTCACTGTATCCAGTGTAAGTAAAAGGTTGCCCCTTGGAGCAGCCTTGAGAACTTCTCAGTGACTACAAACCTTTGGTTAGTTCTATACAAGGGAAGTCAGAGAGAGATCATGTCATGACCAAACAACTTAACTTTTGAAAAACAGCCGATTGCAAACCTGAATAATTGGGGCATGTATTTTATTGATTGTTTAACCTGTAAGGACAGATATTTTAAAATATAAATTCAAAACCCTTTCTTGCCACTTTTTGCAGCAGTCCCCTACAGGCTTTCTATATCTTCTCTTTCTGAAATAGATGATTTCCAGAGCATTAAAAAAAGAAATAGACATTTTCTTGGTTCAGTAGCTCAAATCTGCTTTCAGAGTGATTTTGTAATACTTAAGCACATTTTGTATGCACATAGTTTCATTTGTGATCTTAGAGGATGTCATTTAAAACTGAAAAGTTATTACCTGTGAAGGAGAACAAAGGAAAAGGAAAAAAAAATAACAAAAAAAATGTTTTTTAACCTGAAAAGTGACTTTATGTTCAAATGGGTATTTTCAACCCTGAGTTGTCAAAATGACTTTTAATTGAAAAAAGGCTAAAAGTGTATTTTATCGAAAGCCAGGATAAACAGTAGATTTTGTATCATTTTAAAAACAACAATCAGCCAGGCATGGTGGCTCACACCTGTAATCCCAGCACTTTGGGAGGCGGAGGCAGGCAGATTACTTGAGGCTAGGAGTTGAAGACCAGCCTGGCCAATATGGCAAAACCCCATCCCTACTAAAAATGCAAAAATCAGCTGGGCGTGGTGGTGGTGCCTGTAATCCCAGCTATTCAGGAGGCTGAGGCACAAGAATCATTTGAACCTGGGAGGTGGAGGTTGCAGTGAGCCCAGATTGTGCCACTGTACTTCAGCCTGGGTGACAGAACAAGACTCTGTCTCAAAAACAAACAAATAAACATAAAAATCAACAATGAAGATTCCCCAGACAAGAGGCATTGGGATTCTTGGCCAGTCACAGATTAAGTGTTATAGTATAAATTGAAGAGAAAGAAGACCAAAATTAGTGAAATACCTTTGGTCCTAGAAGACAATTAAGATGAATAAAAGAACTTGAGAATACATTCTCATTATTAAGCATCTTCAGCTTTAAAGATTTTAGTTAACAAAGCAAGTTTACATAAACAGTTTTCTGAACTGGGATGGCGTTCGGTGTAAATTAGAACTCTCCAATTCAGCCACTTTTTCTCTGTTTTATTTGCAGCCATTCGTTATCTATGACATGAATTCCTTAATGATGGGAGAAGATAAGATCAAGTTCAAACACATCACCCCGCTGCAGGAGCAGAGCAAAGAGGTGGCCATCCGCATCTTTCAGGGCTGCCAGTTCCGCTCTGTGGAGGCTGTGCAGGAGATCACAGAGTATGCCAAAAGCATTCCTGGTTTTGTAAACCTTGACTTGAACGACCAAGTAACTCTCCTTAAATACGGAGTCCACGAGATCATTTACACAATGCTGGCCTCCTTGATGAATAAAGATGGGGTTCTCATATCCGAGGGCCAGGGCTTCATGACAAGGGAGTTTCTAAAGAGCCTGCGAAAGCCTTTTGGTGACTTTATGGAGCCCAAGTTTGAGTTTGCTGTGAAGTTCAATGCACTGGAATTAGATGACAGTGACTTGGCAATATTTATTGCTGTGATTATTCTCAGTGGAGGTAAGATTTGCCTTTTGATCTTTCTGTGAGAGAGGATGGGAGGATGGTGGGATGGCCAAAAGAATTTTGGATTTCCTTAGTATTAGTCTGCGTTCATTGTCACATTAAGTGCCAATGGCATTATGCCATGAATCGTCACTACATGTGCAAAACACTGTACCAAGAAAGAATATCAAAGATTTCTGCTGTGAAGGCTGTGGGTAACCCAGGATCTTCTCCTTCATCCCACACAGTATATTTTTTTCCAGTCAAATGCCCTCTTCTCCTTTTCCTTTTTCCTTTCTTTGTTTCCATCTTTCTTTCCAGAAAGGAAGATTAGAGGCCAGTCTAATCTCTGTTTCCTGTGAGTAATGACATATGTAACTTTGCTTAAGACATTGTTGACTTGGCATAGAGAAGGTACTACTAAGTGTTTCTGGTCAAATTATGCTCCTGCCCTACCATCAGTAAGATACTACTTTGAATTGCTTTTCCAATATCAGAAATTAGGGAACACCTACTGACCTCCACCCACTCTCTTGTGTGGATTCCTCTGATGGCACCCTTAAAGTACCTTTGTGAGGTAGTTGGTTGTGATTAAGAATGCAATGTGAACCGAACACACAACATAGAGATAAACTGAGTTATTTAGCAATTTGTTGTATTTTTGGCCTTGCAAGTATATTATCTGACTAACCAGTTCCAAAAACCAGATTTTCTACTGAGTGTGACTTTTTTCTTTTCTTTTTTTTTTTTTTGTTGTTTGTTTTGGTTTGTTTTGTGTGTGTGGGGGGGGCAAGGCCTCACTCTGTCACCCATACTGGAGTGCAGTTGCATGATCATAGCTCGCTGCAGCTTCTAACTGCATTTAGTAAGCTATGATCATGCTACTTCATAGAGGTAATACATGGCCATTTTACAGTTGGGCTCAAGTGATCCTCGCACCTCAGCCTCCCGAGTAGCCAGGACTACAGGGGCACACCAACATGCCCTGCTAATTTTTAAAATTTTTTTGTAGAGGTGAGGTCTCATTATGTTCCCCAGGCTGATCTCAGACTCCGGACCTCAAGCAATGTTTTTACCTTGGTCTCCCAAAGTGCTGGGATTGTAGGCATAAACCACTATGCCCAACCTAAACCTTACTTTCATTAGCCTCTCATAAGAAGGTTTAACTTACGTCTCTCTGGATGAAAATTGTTTCTGAGTAGCAGGTTTTCCTGTTGAAGTGGACTTCACGTGAGCTTTTTATATGTACTCTACAGTGAATCCTCTGTATCTGAAAAAGCCATCAGGGGATAGTGGTAAACTGTGTATAACTGCACACTGTATTATAAAGAGCATGATCACTGTGTAGTCTTTTGTTGTCCAATTGAAAGGAGAATGTTTCTGAAATCAGGTGCATAGTGCAGTAGTCATAAGAATAGCAAACATTTATTTAGTACTTGTTGTGTGCCAGGCAGTGTTCTAAGCACCTCATGCATATTTATTCAATCCTCACAACAATTCAGGGAAGTAAGGGCCATTTTACAAATGAGGAAACCAAAGCACTGAGAGGTTTTCTCATTTGCCTGAGGTCACGTGTCTAGCAAAAGATGGATCAGGATTGTGAACCAGGCGTGCTGGCTCAGACTCTGTGCTCTTTACCATCACATCATGCAGAATACCGCCCTTTAAATGCCTAGGGAGCAAATAGATCACAATATGGTGTAGTTTACCTTTAGAGCCACAAGTCCAGGGTCAAGTTGTGATTTGCTTTAAAATAACTACTTGATATTATGTTTAATAGAACAAACATATACTACCTGGCATGGTTTAGTATCTTGACCAAATCTACCTAAATTAGTCCTTGACTCTCTAGTATACTTTGTTAATTCAGCAAAAAAGGATGAGATTCCAATATATAAGAGGTTTGTCAGAAGAAAAATATTAAATTTTGAAAAACCAGATTAGAAAAACGGTTGATATTACTTATCTAATATTTTATTTTACTTTATTTTATTTTTTGAGATGGAGTCTTGCTCTTCTCGCAGTGGTGCGATCTCTGCTTACTACAACCAGGTTGTCTGCCTCCCAGGTTCAAGTGACTTCTGCGTCAGCCTCCCTAGTAGCTGGGATCACAGGCATGCAACACCACAGCCAGCTAATTTTTGCATTTTTAGTAGAGACAGGGTTTTACCATATTGGCCAGGCTGGCCTCAAACTCCTGACCTCAGGTGATCCAACTGCCTCCACCTCCCAAAGAGCTGGGATTACAGGCATGAGCCACTGCACCTAGCCTATTTATCTACGATTTTAAGGCACATTTTATTTTTAATAAAAGTTGGAAATATACTAATATTTAATTGATTTCAAATATTTTTCCTAAGCTTACTATATATCCCATGTCTGTTCTTTTCACTTAATCAGTTTCCCATATCATTACATACTCTTTATTAATACTTTTTGTTAACTTTTTAAATAAAAGTAATACACGGTCATTTTATAATTGAAAGAGTCCAGAAAGTATAAGTGAAAACTAAAGGGCTTTGCACTCGGGATAAAATATAATTAACAGAGTCCTATTTTTCCTATCAAGAAGTTGACACGCACACTCACATATATAGACATATACATACACGTATGTGTACGTTCATAGCAGTTTGTATTCCTACCCACAGATACAAAGAGAAGCATTTGAAATGAGCCACTCAAAGATACTCAGTTTTGACTAGGCAAGGACTAGACAAGAAGCAGTCAGGAGAATTCTGGGCTTTATGAAGTGAGATCTGAATCTTAGGCATCTACGTTATAGAGGATAAGATCCACCTCCCCAGTTATGCTTCATTAGAATAAGACAAAATTTCTCAATTAGTTTTCCCTCCTATTCCAGATTTTCCATTCAGCTAACCAAGAGGCTTTCATCTACTAAACAAATTTCTGATCCTACCCAATCTTAACAAGAGTGATTATTTCCTCCTCTGCAATTTATTCTAAAGTCTATCAGTTGCTTTGGTTCAGAAAGAAGTGCTTTTGGTCGGGATTCAGTTGGTCTCATTCCGAGCTAGCTTTGGATTCACAGAACTTCATTTCAGCAAAGGCACTTAGGGCCCCAGACTAAAAGAAAGATGAACAAGTTGTGCATCAACTAAGAGCAGGTGGGGGTAAGGAATTGGGGATTAATGGGGGTATCCCTAGAAGACTCAAAGAGGAGATTTTTAGATGAAAGTAACTGATTTGACTCAACTCAGTATTTGCTGGGGAAACTGGAGTTGCTACCTAAGATTGCAGCCATTCAACTTCAGCCTTAAAAACTGCTGATACCATTTGATTTGGTATTTAGATTTGCCCGGGCTTAGCGTCTCTGCTGTTCACTCAGCTCTCAAACCAAGCTGCTGAGAAAGATGACCTAGTTCTTCTGGAGTCTTTCTCTCCTAAGTTTGGGGGCAAGAATTAGACTAAATAAAAGGAACAGCAACCTATTCTAGAACCAAAGTTTAGGACTTGGTACCTTTTCGAGAACATTTCACGTACATCCTCTCATTCGATCCTGACAATGCTCCTGGGTTTTTAATTCTCATTTTCACAGAAAGAAAAGTGAGGGTCATAGACTTAAGCGATTTGTCTAAGATCTAACAACTAGTGCCACAGAGGAACTAACATTGAAACCAAGGTGTCCTAACTGTCCCCTCTGGTGCTGGCCAGTGGATTGTGGTCTGTACACTCACTCCTTGTGCTGGTGGCCACAACCTGCTCTCTCTTCACCGTATCCCTAAAGTAGGCCCATAACTAGAAGCCAGGAACAGCAGTTCCTTGGTCATCATGGTAAACAATAGCTTTCCTTGCACTCCCTAGTCTTACGGACAGGCTGGGCGGCGTCGAGAGTACTAAAACTGCCTCCAGCAAAGGCATGTTTGCAACTGGCGCCGCAGCATCATGCCAGCCACCCTAGCAAACTCCCAAAACCTACCCAGCAGCCAAAGCCAAGTGTAAAACTCAGTGAAGCTGACAAGCCCCAGGACACTCTGGTGGATGTTTTGCCCCCTTGAGTGTTTGCTGTTTTGTGAAGAAAAAGTCTAGGCGAGTTCCAGCTGGAACTTTGCAACAGGCAAAAGCTCTTTTTGTTAATTCAAAACAGTTTGGAATCCATTTCAGTTCTTCCTAAGCCTCCAAGATACGGGGGAGGAAATTCACTGGATTTTACAATATATTTTTCAAGGCAAATTGCCATCAGTGTCCTAATGACAGAGAAGCTGCCGATATCACTACAACGGCCATACAGATGGCAAGTCATCCAGCCTCCTCCTGTACCCTCCTGAGTCTGGCTTGGTGATGCAAACCACCTTGAGGGCAGCTCCTTTTTCCAGCAGTCCTCGCACTGTCTCTTCTCTGTGAAGCCACTTTGGATGGCTGTTCGTGGCATGATCGTTGGCTTTTCAGCTGTTGAGTGGGCAAGGAGAATAGGGTAGAAGCAGGGGAATTGATCTCACTGCTATGCATTTATACATCAAAGAGGAGCAGATATTCTATGTTAATTGGATCATACCTAGGTCTATCAGGTCAGTAACCTGGGGCTCCCCCATGCGTCATCCCAGATAGATAGATTTTTTTAAATTTTGTTGGAAGTAAAGTAGAATCACAGCCAAGTGCTAGCCCAGAATAAGTTACTCACAAATGTTTGTTGAGTGAATAATCATCCAAAATAATAATAATACTACCTACCATTCATTGAAAACTTCAGTATGTGAGAGAGTCTGTGCTAGACACTTTATTACATCCATAATCTGTTTTTTGGGTTTTTTGGTAGGAAGACTACATGGCTGAATACATGGTCTTTTATTACCTCCATTTTATAGACGGAGAAAATGGAAACTTAAAGAGGTTAAGCAGTTTGTCGAAGGTCACAGAGCTACTAATTGATGAGGTCACGGTTCAGCCAGGTCTCTCAGACTTTCAAACTGGTGCACTTAACCATTAGACCCTACTGCTTTTTGTGTATTGAGATGTAGAAGCATCTCAATTAATTACTTCTTTTTTAGAGTTCT